CTGCACCCGACAACAGCAGAATACACATTCTTCTTAAGTGCATATGGAACATCTCCAGAATAGACCATATGTTAGGCCTAAAACAAGTCACAATAAATTTAAGAGAATTTAAATAATACAAAGTATATTCTCTGAGGATAGTGGAATAAAATTAGAAATCATTAACAGAAGGAAATTTGGAAAATTTACAAATATGTTGAAACTAAACAACACACTCCTAAATAATGATGAGTGAAAGAAGAAATCACAAGGGAAGTTAGAAAATACTACGAAATGAATGACAACAAAAACAAGATGTACAAAAACTGATAAGATACAACAAAAGTGCTCAGTAAATTTATACTTGTAAACACATAAAAAAAACTGTAACCTAACCCTCCACCTTAAGAAACTAGAAAAAGAAGAACAAACTAAATCCAAAGCAAGCAGTAAATAAAAATTAGAGTGGAAAAATGTGAAATAAAGAATAGAGAAAATAAATGAAAGTGAAAGTTGATTCTTTTAAAAGACTAAGAACACTGACAAGCTTTTAGCTAGACTGGCCAAGAAAAACAGATAGAAGATTCAAATTACTAAAATGAGGCATGAAAAAGGAGGCATTACTACCAATCTTACAGAAATAAAAAGGATTATAAGATAATACTATGAATAGTTGTATGCCAACAAATTAGATAAACTAGGTGAATTGGACGAGTTCCTAGAAATACAAACTACCAAAACTGACTCAAAGAAAAAATACAAAATTTCAGTAAATAGAGTTAGTCATCAAAAAACTTGTCACAAAGAAAAGCTCAGGACCAGATGGCTTCACTGGTAAATTCTACCAAACAGTTAAAGAAGAATTAATTATTTAAAAAAGAAGAGGGAACGCTTGCTAACTCATTCTTTGAGATCAGTATTAACCCTGATATCAAAGGCAGACAAAGACATCACACAAAAGGAAATTAGAGATCAATATCACGTATGAATATAGATGCAGAAATCTTCAACAAAATGCTAGTAAACCTAATCCAGCAAAAAGGATTATATACCATAACCAAGTGGGACTTATCCCAGCAATGCGAGGTTGGCTCAACATATGAAAATCAATCAATGTAATATACCATATTAATAAAGGAAAATAAAACCTATAATCATCCCAGTAGATGCAGAAACAAAATCCAGCACCCTTTCATGATAAAAACACTCAACAAAGTAGGAATGGAAAGAAGCTTCTTCAGCCAGGTAAAGGGCATCTGCAAAAAACCCATAGCTAACTTCATGCTTAGTGGTTTCATGGATAAGAACATTCAGTACACAAAATGTGAAGAGTAATCAAATATCCACTTTTCTACTTCTCAGTCGTCTCTGACATCAGCTACTCACGCAGCATTCTTTCTGCCCCAAGCCACCTGGAACTAGGTCAGAGCTCACAAGTTGAAAGGACACTGTCCTTCAGACTGCTAAATAGACGCCAGCCAGAAACTTGGGAATCCACAGAACATCCTTACTTTTGACCAGCCAGCCACAGATTTGGGGTTTTCCCACTACTTCATCAAGATGCCAGCTGCAAGCTTCGAGGCCTTCCCTGGCCTTTTTCGCTCTCACTTGCTGGTTCCTGCTACTCTTTTGGGTTTGATAATTTGCTAGAATGACTCACAAAACTCACAGGAAGTACTGTATTTACAATTACAGATTTATTATAGCAAAAGGATACAAATCAGGATCATCACTGGGCGAAGTCTGAGAGGGTTCCCAACACAGAGCTTCCACATCCCAAGCAGAGTTTGTCATCCTCCCTTCACCAGCCAGAAAGCTCCTGGAGCCTCTGTCTTCAGGCCCTTTATTGGCCTTAGTCATTATGTAATCACGATTGAGGCCTTATTGTGTATGTATGATAGGTTAACTCATGAGGTTAGTTGATATCCAGCTACCAGGTGGTCTTTCTGGTCTGGCCAGCCCCCACACAAATCCTCAGATGTGGTCTGGAGGTTTTAGATAATAAAGGCAACTCAGTTACTTAGAAAATTCCAAAGATTATCGCTTAGGAACCAGGGACAAAGGCCAAATTATTTTGTTTTTTGTTAAGGTGATTCATTACCACACAGTGGTCAAAGATTGAAAGCTTTCCCCAAAGAAGTCCACTTGTTTGAGTTTTATTCAACATTATACTGGAAGTTCTAGCAAGAGCATATAGGCAAAAAAAAAAATGTAGGTTGGAAAAGTAGAAGAAATACTATATTTGCAGGTGACATGACATTATATACAGAAGGCCCTAAAAAATCCACACACACAAACTATTAGAGGTTAGCTGTTCGGCAAGGTTGCAGGATACAAACTCAATATACAAAAATCAGTTACATTTCTGTACATTAACAATGAGCAGTCTGAAAATGAATTTTAATAATTCCGTAATACCTGTCATGGATTGAATTATGTCCCCCAAAAAATGTGTGTATCAGTTTGGCTGGGCCATGATTCCTGGTAGTGTGATTTTCCTATATGTTGTAAATCCTGCCTCTACGATGTTAATGAGGGAGGATGGGTGGCAGTTGTGTTAGTAAGGCAGGACTGGATCTACAAGTTTGGATTGTATCCTGAGGCAATCTCTTGAGATATAAAAGAGAGAAGTGAGGAGAGAGACAGGGGGACCTCATACCATCAAGAAAGCAGTGCTGGGAGCAGAGCGTATCCTTTGGACCGGGGTCCCTGCACAGAGAAGCTCCTAGTCCGGGGGAACACCGAAGAGAAGAAGGCTGATAGAAAAAGCCTTCCCCTGGAGCTGACACCCTGAATTTCGACCTTTAGCCTTCTTTGACTGTGAGGAAATAAACTTCTTTTTGTTAAAACCATCCACTTGTGGTATTTCTGTATAGCAGCACTAGATGACTAAGACAATACCATCTAAAAAATAAAATGTGTGGGAATAAAATTAATCAAAGAAGTGTAAGATTTGTACACTGAAAACTATAAGACGTTGTTGAGAGAAAGTAAAGAAGACCTAAATAAATGGAAAGACACTCCATGCCCATGAATTGTAAGACTTAGTAAAATGAAAATACTTCCCAAATTGATATACAGATTCAATTCAATTCATAATCCCAACTGCCTTTTTTTTTTTTTTAGAATTGGAGACGTTGTTCCTAAAATACATATGGAAATGTAAGGGACCCAGAATAGCCAAAATAATCTTGAAAAAAGAAGAACAAAGTTGGAGGATTTGTATTTCCCAATTTTAAAACTCATTACAAAGCTATAATAATCAAGGCAGTTTGGTACTGGCATAGGATAGACGTATAGATTAATAGAATGGAATTGAGTCCAGAAGTAAACCCAGTTGATTTTTGACAGAGATACCAAGACCAATTGGAAAAGAATAGTCTTCAATTAGTGATGCTGGGCACAACTGTTACCTACATTCAAGTGAATGAATCTGGACTCCTACTTCACGCTATATACAAAAATTAACTCATATGACACCAAAACACAAACTACCAAAGATAAAGTAGATAAATTGGACTTCAGAATTAAAAGCTTTTGTGTATCAATGTACACAATCAAAAAAGTGAAAAGAAAGCCCATAGAATGGGAGAAAATATTTGCAAATCATATATCCGATAAGGGTCTAGTATCCAAAATATATAAGGAACTCTGATAATGTAATAGTAAAAAGAATCCCATTTTTTAAATGGGCAACAGATTTGAATAGACATTTGTACAAGAAAATATATAAATGGCCAGTAAAGCACATGAAACGATACTTAAATCATTAGTCATTAAAAACCAAAAAAACCAAACTTGTTGCTGTTGAGTCGATTCCGACTCAGTGACCCCATAGTCATTAGGGAAATGCAAATCAAAACCACAGTGAGATACTACTACATGACACCCACTAGGATGGCTAGAATTTAAAATAAAAGGAAAATAGTGTTGGCAAGTACGTGAAGAAATTGGAGCCCTCATACATTGCTAATGGGAATGTAAAATGGTGTACAAATGGAGTAGCCACTTTGGAAAAGTTTCAGTTCCTCAAATTATTAACACATAGAGTTACCGTATGACCCAAGAATTCCATTCCTAGGTATATACCCAAGAAAATTGAAGGCATGTGTTCACACAAAAACTTGTATATGAATGTTTATAACATCATTATTCAGATTAGACAAAAAGTGGAAATAATTCAGGTGTCCGTCAACTGATGAATAACACAAATGTGGTATACTCATACAGTGAAATATTATTCACCCATAAAAAGAATGAAGTAATAATACATGCTACAACATGGATAAACCTTGAAAACAATATGATACAAGAAAAAGATAGACACATAAATCCACTTATTGTATGATTCCATTTACATGAAATGTTCAGAATAGGCAAATCCATAGAGAAAGAAAATAAATTAGTGGTTACCAGGGGCTGGAAGACAGGACGTGGGAATTTACTGCTAATGGGTATGGGGTTTCTTTTTGGGATGATGAAAATGTTCTGAATTAAACACTGGATTGTAAACTTTAATATGTGAATTTTATGGTAGGTAGAGTTATATTTTAATAAAAATATAAATAAATGCCATCATTTTAAGTAATGTTCTTGTCTAGTTGATGGCATTGTTATGTGCTGTGTAAATTAACTTGAAAGATGTAATACAGTTACATTTAGTATCAAGATGTATGATTAAATATAAGGTAAATATTTCCTCTTACAGGGCTACTTTATTTACTTACCATTAAACTTTTTCTTAAGTCACATTTATTGTTTGAGAAACATATCTCATTTATATGTTATCTTTAAAAGAGCAAGTACAATGATGATAGACATTTAGGAAAGGGAAAATGACTTTCTATGACTGAGACAACTGCAGCTAATTAAAAATTTCCTTGGGGGACTTGAGCAGGTTTGTGGGATACTATTTCTGTCACTACTTGAGCTCTTTTCATAGACATTCATATAACCTTTTGTTTCATATAAAAAATTATGAATATATATATATATATTTTTTTTTTTTTTTAATTTTTCAGGTCAAGCAAATAAAGTAGCCAAAGAAGCTGCTAACAGATGGACTGGTATGTATTGAAATGACGTTGATAAACTATAGTGAAATTCTCGTCACACTTCACACTTACTGTGATGTGAAATGAAGATGCCTTTGTGCCTAGCCTTACTCAGCAAGGGACATTTCTAAAAATGTATATATAAATCAGGTTTTTATAAGTTAAATCAATTAAATAACTTAAGTTACTTAAGGAATGGTTTTATTATTGTTGTTGTTTTTTAATTTGGGAGGCATTTTGTAAAATCAATGATTGCTTCCAGTTTAACTTTTGTGTAACTCTTCCCAGGATAAGTTACTGCTGCTAGTCAGTTAACCTGCATGTATTGGAAAGCAAGGTATATCTTTTTTTTTTTTAATTTTATTGTGCTTTAGGTGAAACTTTACAGCACAAATTAGTTTCTCATTCAAAAATTTATACACAAATTGTTTTGTGACGTTGGTTGCAATCCCCACATTGTGTCAGCACTCTCCCCCTTTCCCTTTCCACCTTGAGTTCCCCGTGTCCATTCGTCCAGTTTTCCTGTCCCTTCCTGCCTTCTCGTCTTTGCTTTTGGGCAAGTGTTACCCATTTGATCTCATATACTTGATTGAACTAAGAAGCACATTCCTCACGTGTGTTATTGTTTAATTTATAGGCTTGTCTAATCTTTGGCTGAAAAGTGGACTTTGGGAGTGGCATCAGTTCTCAGTTAGCAGGGTGTCCGGAGGCCATACTCTCAGGGTTTCCTCCAGTTTCTGTCAGACCAGTAAGTCTGGTCTTTGTGTGTGTGTGAATTTGAATTTTGGTCTACATTTTTCTCCTCTATCCAGGACCCTCTATTGTGATGCCTGTCAGAGCAGTCAGTGATAGTAGCTGGGCACCATCTAGTTCTTCTAGACTCAAGCTGATGGAAGCTGTGGTTCATGTGGTCCATTAGATCTTTGAACTAATATTTTCCTTGTATCTTTGATTTTCTTCATTCTCCTTTGCTCCAGATGGGTTGGGACCAATAGATGTATCTTAGATGGCCATTCGCAAGCCTTTAAGACCCCAGACACTACTCACCAAGTAAAATGTAGAACATTTTCTTTATAAACTATGTTATGCCAGTTGACCTAGATGTCCTTCAAGACCATAGTCCCCAGCTCTCAGCCCCAGTAACTCGGTCCCTCAAGGTGTTTGGATATATCTAGGAAGCTTCTATGACTTTTCTTTGGTCAAGTTGTGCTGACTTCCTCTATATTGTGTTCTCTTTCCCTTCACCAAAGTTAGCACTTGTCTACTCTTTAGTTAGTGATTTGCCCTTGCCACCTCTCTCCTCCACCATACCATCAAAGATTGTTTTTTTCTGTGTGTAAACCTTTACTTGGGTTTTTATAATAGTGGTCTCATTTGCCCTTTTGTGACTGACTTATTTCACTCAGCGTAATTCCCTCCAGATTCATCCACGTTGTAAGATGTTTCACAGATTCATCATTGTTCTTTATTGTTGTGTAGTTATCATTGTGTAGTATTCCATTGTGTGTATGTTCCATAATTTGTTTATTCATTCATCTGTTGATTGGCACTTAGGTTATTTTCATGTCTTTGCTGTTGTGAATAATGCTGCAATGAACATGGGTGTGCATATGTCTATTCATGTGACAGCTCTTATTTCTCTAGGATATATTCCTAGGAGCAGGATTGTTGTATCGTATGGTATTTCTATTTCAACTTTTTACCCATTTTTTTACCCATTACTGTCAAGTTGATTCCAACTCATAGCAACTGTATAGGACAGAGTAGAACTGCCCCATAGCGTTTCCAAAGAGAGGCTGGTGGATTCGAATTGCCGACCTTTTGGTTAGCAGCCGTAGTGCTTAACCACTACACCACCAGGGTTTCCTCTAGCTTTTTAAGAAGATGCCATATCGTTTCCCATAGTGGTTGTACCATTTTACTTTCCCACCAGCAGTGCATAAGAATTCCATTCTCCCCGCAACCTCTCCAACATTTGTTGTTTTCTGTTTTTTTTTTTTGATTAGTACCAGTAATGGCAGGGTGAAATGATATCTCATTGTAGTTTTGATTTGAATTTCTCTAATGGCCAACGATTGCAAACATTTCCTTATGTGTCTGTTAGCTGCCTAAATGTCTTGTTTGGTGAAGTGTCTGTTTATATCCTTTGCCCATTTTTTATTGCATTATTTGTCTTTTCGTTCTTGAGGTGTTGAAGTATTCTATAGATTTTAGAGATCAGACCCTTGTCGGATGTGTTGTACCCAAAAATTTTTTCACAGTCTGTACGTTCTCTTTTTACTCTTCTGGTGAAGTCTTTTGATGGGCATAAGTGTTTAATTTTTAGGGGCTCCCAGTTATCAAGTTTATCTTCTGTTGTTTGTGCATTGTTAATTATAGTTTATATTCTATTTATGCCATGTACTAGGTACCCCAACGTTGTCTGTATTTTTTTTCCAGAATCTTTATCGTCTTAGGTTTTATATTTAGGTTTTTGATCCATTTAGAGTTAGTTTTTGTGTGTAGTGTGAAGTATGGATTCAGTTTCATTTTTTTACACACAGACATCCAGTTTTGCCAGCACCATTTGTTAAAACGACTGTCTTTTCCTCATTTAATTGAGCTTTGGTCCTTTGTCAAAGATCGGCGGACCATATGTGAGTAGGTTTATGTCTCTGTTCTCAGTTCTGTTCCATTGATCTTTTGTGACTGTCGTTATACCAATACCTGGCTGTTTTGACTACTGCTGCTGTATAGTAGGTTCTGAGATCAGGTAGTATGAGGCCTCCTACTTTGTTCTCTTTCTTCAATAATGCTTTGCTTATCCGGGACCTCTTTCCTTTCTGTATAAAGTTGGTGATTAGTTTTTCCATCTCATTAATCTCTGTTAGTATTTGTATCGGGATTGCATTATATCTGTAGATCACTTAGGGTAGAACTGATATTTTCACTATGTTGAGTCTTCCAATTCATAAGCATGGTATGCTTTTCCATTTATGCAGATCTGTTTTGGTTTCTTGCAGTATTGTTTTGTAGTTTTCTTTATATAGGTCTTTTACATCCTTGGTTAGATTTATTCTTAAGTATTTTATTTTTTTAGGACCTGTTATAAATGATACTGTTTTCCAGATTTCCTTTTCGAAGCTGTTTTTGTTGGTGTATGGGAATCCAACTGATTTTTGTATATTGATCTTGTATTCTGCAACTCTGCTGAATCGTTCTGTTAGTTCCAGTATTTTTCTTGTGGAATCTTTTGGGTTCTTTATGTGTAAGATCATGTGATCTGTGAACAGGGATAATTTTTTTTTTTCTCTTTTTTTTAATGGTACTTCAGGTGAAGGTTTACAGAACAAATAGTTTCTCACTGAACAGTCAGTACACATATTGTTTTATGACATTGGTTA